CCCATGGTAATAACCGATACCCCAGGATGGACATTCGACAAAATAGCAATGGACATCGTAGGACCACTGCCACGTACTAAAAATGGTAACGAGTATATCCTCACAATGCAAGATCAACTAAGTAAATTCAGCTTAGCCGTGCCATTACCGGATCAAACTGCTGCAACAATAGCTGATAAATTCGTGAAGAGATTCATCACCATTTTTGGATCACCCAAGGCTGTATTCACAGATCAAGGTAGAAACTTCATTAGTGATTTAATGAGGAAATTGGCCAGATACTACAGAATACGAAAATTTCGCACCACCGCCTTTCATCCTCAATCAAATGGCTCACTCGAAAGATCTCATTACGCATTGGGAGAATACCTGAAACAATACGCCAGCGACGAAAAAGAATGGGACGAATGGGTAGACTTAGCTATCCAAAATTATAACACTAGCATATACGAAGGAACTAAACATACGCCATACGAATTAGTTTTCGGGAGACCTGCACGAATACCTTCAAACGACCACTACTTGAAGACGACAAAATTAGAACATATGATAATTATCTAATACAATTATTTACTAGGTTACATCAAATTCAAACAAGAGCAAATAATAATTTAGTAGAAGCCAAAGAAAAATCAAAAATTCGTTATGATAAAAAAATTAACCCTCAGAAATTTAAACCCGGAGATCAGGTATTTTTATTAAAAGGACCCAAACCCGAGAAATTTGGAGATCAATATACGGGACCGCACGAAGTATTAGAAATAGTAAATAGAAACAATATCAAAATCAAACTGAAGAAAAACAGTCGTATCGTACATCCGAACAGACTTTGAATCTCTTATATTACGCCAACTCTAAAAGCAAGCTAAACACCCGGAAAATTTTCGACACTCATTACTCAAATAATTACAACTTTCAGATGTATCGCAGATTCAGCGCAATCATCTTCTTTCTATACCTACTACACCTTATACATTATACACCTTATACTACTATACCTTATACTTTTATATATTTAAATATACTTATACTTTTATACTCTTATATAATTTTATATACTCTTATACTTTCATATATATATATACATATATCGCAGTATACACATACATTTTGCGTTTTATCCAATTACACCCGCGGAAGGACGAAAGAAAAGAAGGAAGAGGAATTGGAGGTTGCCTTCTATCTTTCCTCCTTCTACTCCAAAATAAAATTAAAACATAAGCTCAAAATACACTTGTCTAACACATTAGAAGGACAAAAGAAAAGAAGGAAGAGGATTCGGAGGTTGCCTTCTATCTTTCCCCCTTCTAACCCCAAAAATTACAATATACATACAAACACATTTATATTTTAGCTAATAATTTAAAAGAAAAAAAAAAGGACGAAGAAAAAGAAGGAAGAGATGGAAGTCACCTTCTATCTTCCCTCTTTTTAATTATATTCTTATCAATCTATAGGCTTAGCAACTAAAAACTGCGTAGTATGTAAGCTTTGACATAATACACTCCGCTAGCAAATGTTGGCTACCCCCAACATTTGTCTAAGGTGGGGGGTGTTACGTCCTGCTGACTCTGCATACTTTGAATTTGTTGTCAAGTAGGGCGGATTGCATTTTTTATTATACTACCAAATATTCACATTCCGCGACCCTCCGAGAACTGTGACGTCACACACACAGATTTCTCTTTCTTTTCTCTCTGCGTTAATCACCAGAGTTTCCTCTATTTCCGTCGGAAAAGATCCGTTGAGTCATTTTGGCCATATACCTCCTCTCCAAATAACCTTAAATAACTTCACGTTCGGAGCAATAATTTTCTTTGAAGACGGACCGACCAGACAATCTTTCATGCTGTTATATGATGTTGCCAGCCTTTGATCTTCGGAAACTCACACGTTTCCCACGTTATTCATAAATTCCTATCGCGCACAACCTCTGACTAACCCTAGCGAAACCTTGAAATCTTTTACTGCCATAGATACCCAATCCTTTATCATATTTATCTAAGAACTCTACTAAAACCCCACTTCCGAAAAGTTTGCAACAAAATCCTATACCCATATTTGGACATAAACTTTGGAGCCTGACACAACTTTCCAAACCCCACCTCTCGACCGAGGTGACGTTTTTGGTAAAGTAAAAAAGCTATGCCACTTCTATTTTTTCTCCCAACCGACCCGCAGCCAGGACAGAGCCTTCTCTCCAATACCCCTTCAGGGTTTCTTGAAGAATAGATGACTGAAGAACACTGATCTGACTCACTACAGATCAGTGTTCTTCAGTCATCTATTCTTCTGTGCAACGATCTCGTGCACCCTTGAGACATTGCGAGAGATCCTGCTGAGACCAGTTTCTAGTCCTTGGCGCAACTTGGGTCCATCCTCACAGAGACGCAGCAACCACACCTTTCATTGTTTACTAAGATCAGAGAAGTCCAGCAGTAAGTTATTTGTATTTTCTTTTACCTGAATGATCTCTCTCGTTTCATTTCTTTTTATCTTTTCTTCTCTCTCTTTTCTTTTCCTTTCGTTTTATTTCCGTTTTCTATCCTCCTTGGCATTCCTCCTTAATTGTTAAATCAGACGTCAGTGGCCCAATCCTTTCGATCACAGTCGGACATAACGAACACGGAATATTGTTCTGAATAATCGAGAATCATTGTTCTGAGCGCGATTGTTAACCACATATGTATACAGACACATTATAAAATCTTACAAATTGTATTTCATTGTGAACTTCCGTCTAATCACTAATAAAACAAGTTGTTTGTAATTGTAAACCAATCACGTTTTCCAAATAATTATTCTCAACCAAAATTCTCCCTTCCCTCAACTGTCGCTCACGGTCCTATCCCAGGTAAAAGGATTCAGTTCCTTGACCTAAATAAAGGACCACCGATGTACGTCTGCGCCAGATAAAGGGGTTATTCCAATCCTTGATCTGTTCCGCAGATTTGCGAGTACGTCGGAGCTTGCGAAAGCAAGCGTCAAGTTGCGTTCCTCCTCCAGGACGTAACAGTATCAACAAATCGTGGACATTGGCTTAATAGTTCATATCCATGAAAAATGGACCCAGTTGGCGCTTCGAATCAGCCAACTTTTCGCTGTAAATGCAGCCATGCCTGCTCTCAAGCTTCTCTCTACTTGTACCTTTCAAGTGGTCCGTTCTTTTTAGCTGCACTACTGAACGAGTGCAATAAGTTCAAGTGAGCAAAAATATAGTTGTCTCATTCTAACTTATTGCACTAATGCCGCAGTGACCGCAGTGCAGCTGAAAAGAACAGACCAAATAATTAAGCCCCAGAGTTTTGTTGTCTACGTAGCATACAGAGAGGAGTGATACGTAGGAGTAAATAATTTACACATAAATGGATTCCGAGAATTACACGGTAGAACTGATACGTCGGGATATTATGAAGATCATTTTCAAGTGAACACTTTAATACAAGTAAATATATGTATATATATGTGTGATTCTATCTCATAAACTATGAGATATAACCTCAATCTCAACTTTAGATTAACATCAATTCTGGGAAAAGAAGAAGGAAAGAAGAAGAGAAAATTAACATCATGTTTTACAATAATAAATAGTAGGATCATGTTTACAATAATAAATAATATGTTAGGAATTATATTCTGATAAGCCAAATAACAAATCACCATGTATTTTCTGTTAAGGACATATAACAATGCACTGGGCTGTTGAAAGCATTAGACGAATTCAATACCGAAGGTAGGACCAAAATTGCGGTGTTAGAATCCTCCATAGAGCGATTAGCGTCTGTTGCTGAAACCGAACCAAATGAGAAGAAGAAGACTGAGTTGTTGTCCATCGTTGAGAGCTATAAGGAGCAATTAAATATGTTCTTGGTGGTTTTTCGCAAGGCTAATGTCGTTAGCACTTGTGTCATAGATAAATTAGTTAGGGAGAATCTGCTCTCCCTGCCAGAGGAGCGGCAAAATGCTCTTCGTAAACGACGAGACAAACAAAGTTTGACAGATTCTTCTAGCCAAATCACAGACAAATTATTCAGCATCGTAAGGCATCTAGCTGAGACAACTCAGAGAAGTACTGATTTATTGGACATATTGTGTACGTACTATATTTTTGAATTATTTCATAAAAATATTGAATTTATTAGATATCTATCATGCAGAATGAAGCAGCTATTATCCTATCTTGAATATCTTGAACATATGAGATGTGAGAATAGAAAAATATTTAATAGAAAATACATGGTACTGAAACAATTGTCTTATAGTAGTAAAGTTTTATTTTCTAAGTAAACTAAGCTTTAAAAATCTAAATCCTTTATCATTTTTTCCTAAGTTATTTTTTAAATAAAATGTTTTAATTAAAAATGTAATAAAATTTATTAAAATGTTTTTTTGTATCATAACTGATTTTGAATCATTCTTTATTATAGGTGATTGTATTTCTTTTGATAACTGTTATCGAAAAATAAGCTCAGAAACAGCATTCCATTAAAAAAAAAAAAGTGACCTTCAAATCTTGAGAATCACCTGAAAAAAGCGTTACAGCCGCAAGGATTACTTCTGCACCATGTAATTTCTCTCTTTGTTAGATAAATTATTATTTATTATTATCGTCTCACTATATATTGTCTGTTTAAGAATAATTATTACGATTCTACCAATTTTGCTGTTGTTTCAGTAACATCCTCTGACAAGGTTGATAACACGAGAAACGAGCTGGAGCATCAAGAGCAAGTGATAGTGCAATCGGGAAAGCTCTTAGGAAAATATGGTAAATGCGAAGTCACTGATGAAGTATTACTTGCATTGGCCTTCACGTTCTTCCTCGCCTGCGTGTTTTACATTTCACAAAAGAGACTGTTCTGAAAGCCCTTTGTATGTGATATTAATTAAATGGACTGATCATTTACGGTGATATTGCGATTGTAACATATTGCGCAGGAACTCTCACGATAAATGACATAGAGAATGTATGTACTATTTAAGAGGAGAAATCGGGTGAGTTTTTACAAGTATTTTAATGGCTTTACGCGTGTGTGGATAAATTGCTCGTTAATCTCTGAAGGACGTTTTCATTCGGTCACCAAATCTTATTAAATAAATAAACTCAACTGGTTGTATATAATGGTATCCTATAAGAGGATAAAATATTTATTAAATTTCAAAATGTATACACGTTTCTACTATTCATTATCACTAAAATAACGATGTCGCATCGCGAGACGCTATGGAAATTAATTGCTCGTACATTTTTACAACCGCTTATGAATTCCTCCCTGGTGACTATTCCGTCTCTGTCTGTGTCCATCTCCTTGAAGAACTTGTCCACTTGGATGTTAACTGCGGGCTGGATGGTCTGCGCGTCCTGCACCATCTCATAAATCGCGGATATTACGACCAACATTTCTCGCTTCGTGATGCAACCGTCTCCATCAAAATCATAGAATCTAATGAAAAGTAGGTCCAGAGAGTATTTCGCATGTTATGACCTTCGAGATTATTGACTTCAATAAGTATCAGTGATCAAATATTTAATAAATATCCAATAATCAAGTAAAATTTCTATTGCGACTAATATTAACATTTTTAAATGTCACTTTTTAACTTTGAGTATTATTCCGAGGAAAAATTATTATATATGTAAATTTTCTCTGCACAGCCATCATTAAACAGCAAGAAAAAAGTAAAGTACAAAGTGGTCAATCTGTGTCCAAAGAAGTTACAGAAAATCAAACCGAACTTCTTAACTGACACAAAATAAAAATCTTTCAGGTTGCGCTCGAAAATGAACCTGGAATCAGACGGTCCGTTACTAACAGCTATTACTGCTCATCCAAATATCCAAGAGAGCTGATCGACAATGCCGTTCACGATCGATGCTGTGGCATCCAGAAGATTGCTGAAGCTGACGAAACCGTCGCCGTCCTTAACGAAACTATGGAAGACGATTTGCGTGTATCTGGTTGGGTCACCCAATGGGAACAGTTTTTAGCGTATGCGGGTTTCAAATCGCCAGGCGTCACACTGTTTGCGCAGCATCTCCGCCGGCGGACCGTATCGTCGTCAGTCCTGAAAAGACAGGACTTTTAGTTGAAAATATTTGAGCGAACGTTAATTTAGAACGCGATGTCGTGAACTTCTCGCGAAGAAATGGGAAAGAGATCTTTCCTTCTAAGTATTCTCTTGACGCGTGAAAAATTGGTCGCAAGTTTTGATACTTTTTTTGTAATCTTTTCTCGTAAGTTCTTGTAGTGTGTAACGATTACCGTGCGCGTGTTAGCTCGTTTCATGTAGTGAAAAGTAAAAATAAGAATTCTGAATAGTTTTGTATACTAATATTTTTTTCGTAGTCATAACATAAAAACTTATGCAATGTGACTTAACCCTTTCGTGTCTGACTTTTTTCTAGAAATAATCTGCGTCTAATTCACGTCTTACTAAAGGTTTTTAGAATTGCTGATTATGAATTTGTAGTCAAAATTTCAAAATTCAGAATAGTACCTATAGTTGTAAAATATTTATATAGAAATTATATAGAATATACAAGTCAATATGTCCGCATATATTTCATTTCTCACCTTTCGTTTACATGTAAATAACGATAATTACGAATATCGTGATCTTATATGTATATATATTTATATAATAAATTACACAGTCTGTTTTGTCAAATATTTATTTCTATATACACCTTTCCCTTTTTAAATGCAGAATTGTAATTAAAATTTAGCAATATATAGGTTAGGAGTCATTTAAAACCCAATGCACGTCGCCACTATCTCAATCAGCTGATTGAGTGCAAGGCTTGCTGCAGATTTGCTGCCAATTTGCTCTCGTGTCTTGTGCGCAAGTGTTGCTCGGTGTTTGGTGCCTATTTGGTGCTAAGTTATGCGCAGCAAAACTTGCGTTGTTTTTGCTGCAAATTTACTGCAAATTGCCCCGCATCAAGCCTTGACGTCAAAACACAATCCTAAAGAAGACACAGTTGCATATGGTTTTGGCATCAAGTTTTGATCGAATTTGCTGCCAATTTGCGCTCAATTTGCACTCATTTTGCTCATTGGGAAATAAATGCTTTAATTGCAAATGGTATCGTATGGTTTTTATAAATAAAACCTTCTGATAATTTTATAGCTTCTACTGTAGTCTTCTAAGAAATCATTTACGTTACTAGGCTTTTCATAACCATGATATACACCTACCACTCCTATATATTGAGGATATTCATATATCAAGCATAATATGGAATATATTTGAAAGGTTAGGACTTTTGCTAAGAGATAAACCATCAATGTTAACTAATAAATTTAATTTTTGTGGTTGTTCCTCTAACAAATTGATAAGCTTTTCAACTGCAGATTGAACTTCAATGTGTGAATAAGTGCCTGAACCTACAGGTTTGCTGAATATCTATAGAGGAATATAGAGCAAAGTTCTGGGATCCTGAGGCACAAATATTAGCTTCTGATTGTAATAATTGTAGCAAGTCTTGTAAAGCTGAATGTGAAATGTTATGCGATATTGCCCATAATCGTAATTTATTGATAAAATTATTTTCATTATCTTTTACTACATTTAGTCTCAGATCTATTGAAGCATTGCATTCTGTAATATCATCAAAATTATCCAGGGAATCTGAAGTATTAGAGCAGTCTGTTTTACTATTACACATTGCAATTCTATATTTTCCATGACTGTTGGGGTTCTGAAATATTGTTATTACTATTATATATTGATACATTGTCAGAATCACTTGAATAATTTTGTGATAAATCTAAACATGTTGCGGTTCTTCTGTTTATTTTTCTATATAGTGTTGCTTTAAAGAATCTACGTTTCATATTAATAATAATCTTAAAAGTAATATTGTTTAACTTCTAAAAATGATTGTGGTGTGTGTGTGTGTGGTGGTGGCGCCTTGGTTATTTTTCACCATAGACCTTATATATATGGAATGGCAATTGACAATAGTTTCTGTTGAGAAGTGATGTCCGGAGGAGGTTAGACAGAGAAACGTACTTTTCAGGACTTCTCTGTCGTTTCGTCTCCGGAAATATGCTTTGCATATGCGTGACTGATATACAGGGTGTTCCGCAGCAACATATACAAAATTCGTGGAGGCCTAGCACGGCTTGAGATGAGCATAAAAGTCCCATACCGTTTTGCGATAATCGTAATAGTTTTCGAGAAATTAATTAAAAACGTCCAGCAATAGCGTCCGCCGAGATGTGTAAGAGTCGAGGCGCCCGAGTTCAGGCCGGCCCACTCTACCCATAAGTAGACACCGGCGCGCGGCTAGGGGAGAAACAATAGACCACTGCCCGCGCTTGCGAGGCTTCTCCTCCTAAGTCTTGCCGCACCGCTCCGCACCGCACCGAAACTCGTAACGATGTCGCCGAGCCGCGAACGTTCGCGATTACAATTACGATTACTTAATAAGAGAGCAAAAATAGCTCCAATTATTGAAACAGTTATAAGCAATGTGTGATAAAAATGAATGGAAAGAGTGAAAGCGATGGAAACCGATAGAATGTGCAGACAATTTAATTATTTTCTGTCGTAATCTATCGTTCGCTATTAGAAGAGTATTCAATCGTTCGTTCGTATCGAAATATGATAGAATTTATACAGAGACTTTACGCGTCCTATCGTTTTATTGGACTCTATTATGAACAGATCACTGAAAATCTGTCGTAATCAATGGGTGCATAAACGATAAGTAAAACTTGTAGTTCTCTATCGCATACGTACGAAAGGAAATCTATCATTGTCAAATTTGATATTTTTTCTCCTACTTTATGCAAGCGAAATGATAGCACATGTAAGAAATTCAAAACGTTTAGTAGAAAGGAAAAAAAATTAAATTCAGTTATTTAGTAATGCGTACAACTTTTAATTTATTACACGATTGACAACGGGTTTCCTTTCGTACTTATACGATAGAGAACTACGAGTTTCTCCTATCGTTAATACACCATTGATTATGACAGATTGTCAGTGATCTATTCATAATAGAGTCCAATAAAACGATAGGACGCGTAAAGTCTCTGTATAAATTCTATCATATTTCGATACGAACGAACGATTGAATACTCTTCTAATAGCGAACGATAGATTACGACAGAAAATAATTAAATTGTCTGCACACTCTATCGGTTTCCATCGCTTTCACTCTTTCCATTCTTTTTTATCACACATTGCTTATAACTGTTTCAATAATTGGAGCTATTTTTGCTCTCTTATTAAGTAATCGTAATTGTAATCGCGAACGTTCGCGGCTCGGCGACATCGTTACGAGTTTCGGTGCGGTGCGGAGCGGTGCGGCAAGACGTAGGAGGAGAAGCCCGCAAACGCGGGCAGTGGTCTGTTGTTTCTCCCCTAGCCGCGCGCCGGTGTCTACTTATGGGTAGAGTGGGCCGGCCTGAACTCGGGCGGCTCGACTCTTACACATCTCGGCGGACGCTATTGCTGGACGTTTTTAATTAATTTCTCGAAAACTATTACGATTATCGCAAAACGGTATGGGACTTTTATGCTCATCTCAAGCCGTGCTAGGCCTCCACGAATTTTGTATATGTTGCTGCGGAACACCCTGTATAAGTTAGAGTGAGATAAATATATTTTTTATCTCACTCTAACTTATTACACATTTAACACGCAGCCCAGCAATCGCTACAAATGCTTCGAAGCGTTTTTACTTCCTTCTCTCTCTCTTCACTCGAATCCGGAAAGGAGAAAAAGAAGGAGAAACGCTTCGAGACATTTGTAGCGGGGGCTGGGCCGCACCCATTGTCGTGTCTCTTGATGTTACGTTTACTATTTCTAGATGTTAGCATATGAAACATTATTTATATATTTTTGTATAGAATCGAAAGATACTTAATAATAGAATTAATATCATTGACATAAATCATTCAGAGGGTTTCATGAAGGGAAATAAAAATACGATACACAAAATTACTCAGTATCTTCATTCATGCTGAAATAAAATTAATTTTGTTAATTTCTGTCTTTCCTTTTTTTCTTTGTCATACATTTTTCCTAGATGATGACATCGTATGTTTACATAACATTCTATAATACTTACAATTAATTGCTTTTTATGATTATTGAATGGTTCCTGAGATAGAATATGATCACTCATGTCTAAAAAGACACAAGGTAATACATATTGTACAACACGGTTTATAATTACAGGTTTTACATTTATTTTAAAAATATCACTTTGATATTGTCTAATAATTCTTTCTACCCATGTACAAACATAAAAAATGTCTTTTGATGGTTTAAGTAACATACCTCTATCTTTTTTTAATAATACTAAGTTGGTTGTATCGTTTGTTTCCAAATATTTTTTACATACTGTGCACGAAATTTTTTTTTTAATTGTTTAACAACAAATCCAGCTATGTGTTCAGTAATATCAGTAACAAATATACTTAAAGAAGGAATGCCAAAAATATAATCATGATCAAATAAAACATTTTTATTGGTAATCACTTGCTCACTGTTTTTATCGATATTACTAATATCACTTGCATTTTTATGTCTCAAAACAAACTGGTAATATTGATGTATCTAATATTGTACAATTAGCATATTCTGATTCTGATACCTGATGATGTACTAATAATTTTTTGTAAGCACTTTCAAATTGAATACATGTTGGATTGCTGTTAGAACCTCCACGACTTCGGATTGCACTGAAGAACGACTCCAAGTGATCTTGCAATAATTTATAGCTAAGTAATATTCTATATATTTTTTTGAGTGCAAAGTTCGATATAATTCAAGTGCATTTTCTAAACAATGTACTATTCCAATAAAACCTGTACTTCGTGTTGAATGTATAATGTGTCTACCAATATTATCTTTTAAATTAGAAATGTACGTTTTAAATGTTGATATAAAGTCTGAATATTCTATTAATTAAGGTATTGTTACTAACGGGCTGATTAAAGGGTCTTTTAGAAAATTTATTTCGACAGTTTAATATGTCAAACGCTCTATTCATTAGAGAACAAAATTCTGCAGTAGCTAAAGCTCCTTGAAAACCATCATATTTTTTTTCTACACAATATATTAGTGCTTTGCTCACACTATCGCTTAACACTTGTACTGCTAAATGAACATTCATTTTCTCATTGTGATAATTAATGTGACGTCCAGTTAATTTTGTGGCAGCTTTTAAACCTTCTATTTTTTCTTTATTATAAAGAGCGATTATATATTCCCATTTTATCAATTCTCCTTTTTCATTAAAGAATACTTTTCTCTCACCAAAAGCATTTCTTATTAATTTAATACTATGGGAAGGATCCAAAAATATAAAAATATTGTCTCCTGTTATGGGATGGCGAAAAATACACGAAGTATTAAAATTAAAAACTGCACCTAATTGTGCACACATACATTTATTAACGGGTGCTCCATCAAATGTAACTGAATAAACATGACATTTTGTGTCATGTAATAAAGATAAGCAAGTCTTCAATAAATTAGCTCTTTCCATCGCATTTAAACCGTCAATTAAAAAATATCCTAACGGTATTTTCCAATGACTGTTTAAAGCAACAGCAAGAAATACCAAAGCGTTTTTTGCCAAATCTAAATCATCATACTACATAGTAATCATGATCGTAAGTAAAATCTGAACCTAAGTTAATAAAACCTAGAACTAAGTTAATAAAACCAAAATACTTGTGACCATCCCAATGAAAGTGTTGCCGAATCGCCATCTCGTCAATGACAATATTAACAATAACGACTCCTTCTTATACTTTTTGTCTAATAGAATTAAAAGATTCGTGCGTGAATCCAGGTTTTCCGTCAATCGTCTTATACCACTTACGTATTGTACGCTCACTCGGTAATAAATTGTTAAAAGATTTGGTAACATAAGCATAAGCTCTAGCAGAATAAAAATGTAATGTTAAAGCAAATCGCCTTAAGTCAGAGTTAAAAGGCGCTTTCTTAACTCCCGATAAATGTCTTTTCATGATTTGTGCAAGCGAATCAGATGCTGTTGTCTGTATAAATAAAAAGAAAATTATAAGTCAAACAAAAGTCCGTTAAACAAAATTGACCGTTTTGCTATATTAAGAAAAAAATTGGCATTGTTATTTAAAACATTGAGTAGTAGTACAATATAAAAAATAGCAACACAATTACGTATTATATATATTACACAGACTGTAAACAATGTTTCACTACAATATCAAAATTTCAAGATAAATTGCGATTTATAAATTAAATTATGTGCAAATTATATTCTATTATATTAAATACAAACTATACAATTAAATCATTATTATTACAAGTATATGAACACAGACGCATGCGGGCACACACACGCACACAATTTATTGATATAAGGATAAAGTATTGTAAACTGTTGAAACTGATTTCAATAAAATTCGTATTTTTTGTTCATTGTATTAACTACTACTTAATGTCAAATGTCAATAGAATTTTTTTAAATAAATACCTGTAACATCTGAGCTGCACTTTCTGATATTAATTGTTTTTTCTGTAATTTCTTAAGTAAATCTTCGAGTGTGTGCATTTTTGACTCTAACCTTTTTATACGTTTCTTAGAAGTATCCAATTGTCTTCGACAGTCAGAAAGTTTTCTTACTACTACGTCAAAACAATGTTTAGCACGGCGTGGAGTTGAAAAATGTTCTTCTGTACAGTCTCCAACTCTTACAGGACGCCAAATCTTCTTCCTTCTATCAAGCGATTTCCTACAAAATAAGATATTTTAGTCAACACACAGGTATTTATATATAGTTACCAGTAAATATATTTAATGATAAAAGAAAGTAAATATTACTGGAAATATTGTATTTCTATATTGTCCTGTTGAATATTTATGTCTGTTATTTCATTCTCATTTCCTTCTAACGTGGATGTGTTGTCTTACATACAGATAAAGTTGAATCATCAGCTCTATAACGAATTACAAAATACATGTAAATTTTCCATTAATCATCAATAATTAAACGTTAAAAAATAACATTAACATTTTCTTAAAAGCAAAAATATCATACCTTGGTGATGTAAATTCCATTTCTTCTTTTTCATTATGAATAGGTTGAACTATATTTGCTGCGTCTGACGTTGATGAAAAAAACGAGTCTGGTAAAATAATTGAAGCAGACAAAGACTGTTTTCTTATTCTAAAAAGATGAAAAACAAAATTTATATTATTAATCAAATCAAAATATCTTAAAAATAGTTTCTTAGAACGCATTAATAAGATGTGAAAAATAACTCTAATGCAACACATGTAAAATTGCAAGTTAAATATTTTTCCTTTGGGTATATTTTATATTTTACCTATATATATATATATATTTATATATATATTACCTTTTTAAATATGTTTTATTTTCTCCAAAAAATAATAATGGAACTGCATCGTTCTTCAATAATCTACGTCCTTCATTCCATGCTTTAAATTGTAAAGAACTGAAGTGACGTGAACAAATCTTACTTTTTTTCTTTATTGTACTTAAATTGCACGCTTCCATCCATAACTTTTTATATTTTTCATTTGTTGGGAAACTAAAATTGTTAATGTTTAGTTAATATAATTTAGTTAATAATAATATAGAGTATCTTACAACATCGACCCGTTAGAGGCATAGAACAAGTAAAGGTTGTTGAATGAGCGTCGAGGCGTTTATGTGGAAGCTTCATCTCGATAGGAAGCATGGAATCAACGTGGATTCACGTGGAGTCCACGTCGAATCTATGCTTCAATCTGTGCTTCACATGAATTCGACGTGGATTCCACGTCCCATTCCTATCGAGATGATAGCTGACTTTTTCTTTACTTCTATGTCATTGTATAACTAAAATTTGCTTAATACTTACGAATGAAAAGAAACACTATTTTTCGTACAATACTTCACACCGCAAAGGACACATGTTTCAACCATGGTGAAGTTTTCTTCTTTTTAAGATCTTTTTAAAAGATCAGATCATTTATCCCATCAAGCACTATCCAATATCTGGCACAACACAAATACCTACATCGCCATGTTTGCAGAAACTATATCATGTTGCGTACAACCAATCAGAATAGTTTATTTAATCCACGCATGCGCAAAACATATTTCCGGAGATGAAAAGACAGAGAAGTCCCGAAAAGTACGTTTCTCTGTCTAACCTCCTCCGGACACGATCTGCTATGTATGACCAGTCCATATATATATAAGGTCTATGTTTTTCACATAATACAATACACAAATCACGCTTTTATTATTCTACAAAAAAATAAAAGTATATTTTTATTGCAGGAAAACAAAGAAATTGCACAAGGTATAAATATAACGTCAGACTAACTTTAATCATAGCAGACCGTCAAATGTTGTTTATTATACCGTTCCTAAAGCCAACGGCACACGGTGCTTGTTTTCGTGCTGGATTGCTTGCTGGATGAAAATACTGCGTTCTGATTGGTGCATTTCCATCCATCTTCGGAAAAGTACCAATCAGAACGCAGTATTTTCATCCAGCAAGCAACCCAGCACGAAAACAAGCACCGTGTGCCACTGGCTTTATACTACGCTTTCTATTGGTCTGTTCTATTTTCAGCTGCACTGCTACACGCACCAGTATAAAGGCTCGTCTACAATAGCTGTAAGAGTAAGGCTGTAAGGCTGTAACGTAAGCTGTCAGCGAATGAAAATATTTCATTTCGTGTCTTGCAACCTTACAGCCTTACTCTTACAGCTAATGTAGACGAGCCTTAACAGTGCAGCTGAGAAAGATAGACCAAGAGATGGCGTGTTCGTTTGAATTCGTTGCTCTGACTAGTTTTGTTACATTCAGTGAACATTTATAAAATATTAATATAATATTTCTACCGACGATTTTTATAATATTTTAAGTAAATTTATAGACTATTCTACAAAATAAGAATGTTCTATTAACATTTATACATGATTTCGTTGAGAATATTCTTGTAACAATATATTGGATGCAGCATTGAATATTTATAGAATATTGTGTGTTATCTTGGTATGAATGTCACTTGAATATTACGATAAACGAAATTCCAAGATTTGGTCACAATGTCATCATCTTTCTTACATATTATTTATATTTGTTCATTCTATTGTTAACACAACTATAATGATATAGTCAAGCGATATAAATATTTCAGAAACTAAAGTGATTATTTTAAAGTGTTTGTATTTATAATGCAGCATATATATACTTTTGCCATTTTTATATAATTTTGTCTCATTTATTGTCAATGACGTTTAAATGACAAATAAAGTCATAATGGCTGCGTTCAGCAGAGAAAGCTGCTTTGTAACTGTTATAAAATTCGTGAATCTGATTGGTACATGCTCTTGGATTCAACCAAATTAAAAGTATACTCCAATCAGATTCATGAATTTTACAACAGTTGCAAAGCAGCTTTCTCTGCTGAACGCAATCATTGACATCATTATGATATCATTATGACTTTTATGTTCTACCTGAGTATTGGACGTACCTAGGGTACGTATCAAGTTTTGCTATGTGAGAATGTACCAGTAGTATCGGACGTATTGATAGTATCGGACAGGTCTTATATACAATTTATAGCCATCCTGTTAACAGAAACTGTTAGCAGACTACTCTGTCCTATTGCCAATATGTCTGTTTATTTGGGAAATATATCAGCAGATTTGACTATTTAATGCTATATAATTTTAAAAAATTTTTATTTGAGAATATATATTACAACTTAGTACAAATATAATAAAATCGTTTTATAATATTTTAAGAAAATTAAGAGAATTTAAGGAAATACTAGTAAGTTTAGTCATTTTAGATGCCACGCCTTAAGTTACTTCAATTCATAATGTCCTCTTTAACTTCCCCTCTCCTCGTCGGATTCATAGTCTCTATCATTGTATCTTGTTCAGTCAATACAGATGTGCTTTCTGTTCGTCCTGAAAATTTGTGAGGTAATTTTCCATTCGTCTAATTTGATGAACAAATATATATTCAGCGGCTCTGATATAATTTTTGATATTACTTTTGTGAGCGGAATTTTATATAAATAATGTCGATCGAAGAAGAATATTTTCAGGTTATTTCATAAAATAACCTATCTTATATACGTATTTGTCGTATGTTATTTTGTCGCATCCTGTCGTGATACGACGTGGTGACTATTATACTGTGTGTCCGTTTGGTTTATTTTCATTAATCTAGAAATTGAACAGAATTGGTCAGCTGTATAACGTCTATTAAAAAAAGAAAAAGAGATAAAGAGCGTGCAGTCTTGTTTCATCATTCGACTATTTACAATCAAACAACTTGGTGAAATGTCTAGTGAAAGTGTAAAAACAGTAAGTATTATATATTTCAACTTTCTTTTTCTGGTGACACAATAGCGATTTATCTTCCTAATTTAAAAATATATATTAATTATTTTTTGAACATGTATATTTATATTTATTTTTATCTTATATTTTCCTTTCTGAAGTTGTACTACATAAAAATAATTTTTAATAAATTAAAACATGTTCTTTCTTGTATATACTATCAAAAAATAATATGAATGAAAAGATTTAGTTATAAACATTATTATAAACTAACATACATGGTGTGTACACAGACACACATACATACACACCCATATGTATATATATATATATATATGTGTACAGAATGTCTGGGAACTTTTGGAAATAAAAAATTGAAGACTAATCAGATTAAACTCAAAAGATATATGAATATATTGAACTTTGAACCTTGAATCTTGACGCTAGGCTAGACGAACCTGTCGCTAGGCACAATAGCTGTCATATAATTGTAAATTAAGTTATTCTTGCAGGAACAAAAATTCCTTAAATTCTCTGCAGGAACAAGAAAGTCGGTTATCATTTTGTAAATAAATGTGCAAATTTTCAAGTTACCAATTAAGAGAGCTTTTAAATGTAGTAATTTTTTATCATTAATAACTTAATAACTATTGCAGTCTTTTGTAAAATGGTACATGACTTTTCTTCTCAGTTTGATCTGATTAACTTCACAATTTTTTGTTTCCAAAAGATTCCGGATACTCTGTATATATATAATCAATAAAAGCAAATTTTAAATAGAAAGTCACTTCCAAATTCCCAACTAATTGTGTGACAATATATCTATTTATATATGTATTTTACATACATATACACATATATATATAATACATATGTACATATACAATTAATGTACAGTTAAATTTTTAATATATTTAGTATAATTCAATATATTATCAGTAAATCTATAGGAAAATTTACATCATGAATGACCTCACATATTATAAAGGATTAATTTTTGAATAAAACGTGCTTTGAATCAGATAATGCTCTTTTATGATTTCGAAGATATTTCAAATTAAAAATATATAATAAAAGTAAGAGCAAGAATTGTGTATATTATCTTAGAATGATATTTTTTACAGCATATGTTTTATTGTATTTAAAAATAGTAAGAACTAAGATATATTTTGATTTATTGTATACTTTCTTTATATTCTCAGTATGCTTTGCTGAATATGTTATGAATTTCTGACTTCCAAATAAAAATGCATATGTGACTACATAAATTTCTATCTAATGTCAAAGATGAGAATAAATATTCGAATAAATATTGAATATAAATATCATTCATTTCTTCATACAAAATTACACAGTATGCAACAAAATGGCTTCTCTGTTAAATATATTTGAATCTTTCAGCTTACTAAATTGATGAATATATCATATACTAAATAATATGTATAGTATATATAGTAATAGTATAAATAGTATCATATACTAAATAGTATGTATAGTATGTATAGTATGTATCATACACTAAATAGTAAATCTCGACTAAATTAATAAAGATCTCTATGTAAGGTTTATATTTTATTGAAATATTGCTTAAATCCTTCACTTTACTGAATCGATGAGTTATATACTAAAATAACAGATCTTAAAATTGTTAGCAAAGGTTTCTATATAAAAGAAAGAAAAGTATATTGAAATATTCCTTTTAAAAAATGATATTGTTTAAACTCATGTTTTTTATAGGTAGTTTTGTTAGTCTTATAAGGTCTGTTATTTTAATATACAGTAGATTACATAATAGAAAAACGAAAGATTCAAATATAACAGACAACAAGCCATCTATAAACTTAATATTAGTTAGATAACTTATTTGGTGATTGTTATATATATATATATATTTATTTGTACATATAATGCTATAACAAAAAAGTAGGAACATTTTTTTATTGTTAATAAGATGTATGATGAGATAATATCATTCTATAAACTTTTCTTCTATTTTTAGTCACATACACACATATACATATATTCAACTTAAAATATCTTAGAAATTATAAAAGAATATCAAAAGTGTATTTTACTCAGGAATTAATTTTTTGCAACTTATTGCAACGTTGAGATTAATCATGTTATGTAAGTTTTTCCGTAAATTTACTAAATTATCTTTTGAGTCAAATTAAACAATTAAATAGATTATATAGTATTAGATTATTTCTTAATACTTTTATATTATTAGATTTATATGTAACAAGAAAAGTTTATTATATTTATTAAATTAAATAACTGAAATTACAAAGTTTCAAATTATATTTTATTTCTTTTTAATTAAAAGGAATATATTTATAGTTATGTTTTATTTATAACACACATTGCTATCTTATTGTATTAAATAAATAAAAATAACTTTAAAATATACTTTCATAAAAAAGTAACAGGCCTTATATAGTGCAATCTATTATTTGTAATATTCACTTTGTATGAAATATCTTAGAATATATATTTTTTATTATTATATATTTTGTATTAAAAAGAAATAATAAATTTTTAAATATATCTTTTTTTATTTTTAGTTTGCTAGTCTTGAAACACCTGGATATGTAGGATTTGCGAATTTACCTAATCAAGTACATCGAAAATCTGTGAAAAAAGGTTTCGAGTTTACACTCATGGTTGTTGGAGAATCTGGTCTTGGAAAATCTACTTTAGTAAATAGCTTATTCCTTACGGATTTATATCCTGAACGAGTAATTCCTGATGCAGTTGGTAAGCATAAGTAAAATTATTTATCTTTATTATTTAAACATTCTGTTTTAAATTTCCAAATTATAAAACATACAGAATATTAATTTATGTCTACTGTTATATAACACTATATGTATGTTCTGTTACATAACACTATATACAGGATGTTCTATTTTAACTTTTACATCGAAATATCTTGAAATGTATAAAAAATATGGAAAAACGTTTTAAACAAAAGTTATATGGTTTGATGGTGGACATAAGAGGGTACCTATATTGTATACATGGTGTCTTATTTTTAATTTCGCATTAAAAAATCTCGAAATCTATGAAAGATATTAAAAAAAGCTAAGACATATTCCATGATTTCGAAGGGGAAAAGAATGGTATTCAAAAAATAAATGGTATTCAAAAAGGTCTTTTTTATTTTTGTTGTGTCGCGAACGCAACTTTGTGTCAATGGAGTTCAATTATGAATCGCTAAAAGTTTAAATACTTATAACTTTTGATAGAAGCATTTTCCAAAGAAATGTTTCAGATAAAATTTACTTGTTTTTTCCCGCAGAATCCAAATATGTAACATTTTATAGGGAGTTCCATTTAAAATTATGAAGTTACCCCCGTCCCGCCTTAAAGAGGAAGCGAGGGCGACTTTACGTTTATGTATTAGGTTGTTCGGAAAGTTCGTTTCAAATTTCGCGCACTCCACATTTCTATGTAATCAGTAAGAACGAGGGCGCTCTAAACGATTTTATGTTTGTCAACAAACATTCCCGGATCTATGAGCCCGCTAAGGAAACTTCGCAGATCTTCTTAAGTGCAACTATTTCGTCAGAAATCAGTTTGAAAAATGGAGAACCAAAAAGTCCATTTTCGTCATGTGATGCTATATTGCTTTAAACGTGGCTTCACGGCTTCGCAGACCCTGAATGAGATGTTCTCAGTATATGGAGATGCCTGCGTCACTCACCAGACAGTTCGAAAATGGTATCGAAGATTCGAAGCTGGCGATTTCAACATGGAAGATCAAGCTCGCTCAGGCCGGCCTCAGGAGGTTGATGAAACGCTTTTCATGGATCTCATGCACGAAAATCCTCGAGTGACAGTTAGAGAACTCGCCGACACTCTGCACAAGTCTGTTTCCACCGTGCATGACCATCTGAAGAAGCTAGGATTCTCAAGTCGACTGGATGTGTGGGTGTCACACGAAATGAATGAAGGGCAGTTGCTGGAACGTGTGAACGTCTGCGATATGCTGCTTCAACGGCATCAAAAAGAACCGTTCTTGAAGAGGATTATAACAAGCGATGAAAGTTGGATCCTATACAATTATGTTAGCCGCAAGAGGTAGTGGGGAACCAGCGACGCATCTACGCAAACAGTGGCCAAGCCGGGACTTCACGCGAAAAAGGTTCTTCTGAGTATCTGGTGGGATTTTAATGGCGGTATATTATGAGCTTCTTCAACCAAACGAAACCACCAACGCGGCGAAGTACAGCCTTCAACTGGATGAACTGAAGACTGCCATAGCACGGAAGCGCCCTGAATTGGCCAACAGGCGTGAAATTGTTTTCCATCATGATAACGCCAGACCTCAGTCGCAATGTCTATCCGTAGGAAGCTGTTAGACTTCGAATGGGACGTTCTTCCTCATCCTCCATATTCTCCCAACCTTGCCCCATCTGACTACTATCTATTTCTTTCTTTAAAAAATTTTCTTCGGGACAAGAAATTCGAGTCTTTGAAAGTCCTCAAAAGTCATCTTGACAAATTCTTCGCCAATAAGAAACCTTTATTTTGGAGCAAAGGCATCATGCAGCTTCCTGAAAGATGGGCCAAGGTCGTTGAACAAAACGGTACATATTTGCTTCAATAAAGTTCCTCTTTGTGTAAAATATTGCGCTCTTAATTTATTTCAACAATTTGAAACGAACTTTCCGAACAACCTAATAGTTAGAAAGGCCTCTCGAATACATGAAACTTCCTTATGAACAATTTTTTTATTTAATAAATATTTTTAAAGTTATGGACTTGTAACACTTTACGTGGGCCACCCTGTATACAGGATGTCCCGTATAGTATTCCGTCGAGATAAATTGCTCGGGAGATGAATGGCTAACCAAAAAGAAGAAAAAAAGTTGATACAAACATAGGTTCGAAAATGCGTTTTCAAATTATCGCCATTTTTATGTTAAAATTTGAAATTGCTTTGCTTTCGAATTATTTTTTGTCAAAATTGAAACATGAGATTGTTTTTATGAGTTTCAAAACATAAAATAAAAAAAATTGTGGGTTACTTTAGTACTACCCAGTATGCATCACATGGAGGTACAACCCGCTTAACATCCCTTGGCAGAGATCAGAACCCCACAGTTCGTCACTCCTGGTATTTAGCGACTCTAAATCCTCTGCTATGTGTGTGTGTGTGTGAGAATGTAAAAATTATATAAGGTGTTCGAAATGACCTCTTTCTGCATGAATGCAAGCTTTAAGTCTTCTTTCTAATGAGCTCTTTGTAACGAACTCTTTGTAGCATTTGTGGATTTTCTCTAATATTTTCAAACCCATTAGTTATTTTTTGCCTCAGTTCATGGACATTGTTAACTGGCCGTTTATAAACAAAAGATTTTAAATGACCTCAAAAATAAAAGAGGATTTGAAATCACTAAATACCACAGGAATGACGAACTGTAGGGTCCTGATCTCTGCCAAGGGATGCTAAGCGGGCTGTACCTCCACGTGATGCATCCTGGGTACTGCTAAAGCAGTCCACAACTTTTATTTGATTTTAGTTATGTTTTGAAACTCATAAAAACCATATCATGTTTCAATTTTGACAAAAAATTCGAAAGAAAAATTTCAAACTTTAACATAAAAATGTCGATAAAAACAACGCATTTTCGGACCTATGTTTGTATCAATTTTCTCTCTTGCTTTTGGTTTCCTATTCATCTCCCGAGCGATTTACCTCGAGTTACGGAACACCTCGTATACAGGGTGAGTATTTTTAATCTTAACAAGCAAATATTTCGAAAATATGCAATTTTACATAAAAACTTTTTAAATAAAAGTATGATGTTGAGGGGGACGTACAATAGTGACCTTGGTTTGACCTTCGGACCTATTTAAGATCTACTTAAGATCAGAGGATGACGGTCAACCTAATTTTCTCAAATGGAACCCCCTATTTTTTATATCATATTCTTATACTTCAAGACATTTCCAAAACGCTATGATAAAGTATTTTTTGTATTGAATACCTTCCGAGTTAGGAGACTAGGGATGAGCTAGATATTTAAGACGCTTCCATGTAGACATACAATAGTGACCTGTGTACGTCATGTTATAAATTCACATAAATCGTGAGAAGCAAGGGGACTCACGGAAATGCACCTCTCAAAAGGAACAAAACTACTACGTCCACGCCATTATTCCTGGGTAGCGCTAAAAATAGAATTAGAATAAAAAGTATATTTAAAAAATTCAAGGTGACCTCAACTTGAGCTTGAGGACAGTATGTCGAAGTCATCCAATGTCATCATTCTTTCTTTGTCTCAACCTAATCGTTTTAAAATAGTGGATTAACTTAACCTTCACCTAACTTAACTTTTGAGTCTAATACTCGGAAAGTACTCAGTAAAAAATTCTTTATTATAGCGTTTCGGAAAGGTCTTAAAATAAACTATAAGAATATGATATAAAAAATAGGGGGTTCCATTTGAGAAAATTAAGTTGATCTCTAACCTTAAGTAGATCTTAAGTAGGTCCGAAGGTCAAACCAAGGTCACTATTGTACGTCCCCCTTAATATCATACAACTTTTATTTAAAAAGTTTTTTTGTAAAATTGCATATTTTCAAAATATTTGCCTGTTAAGATTAAAAATACTCACCCTGTATATATGCATATATACAGGATGTCCGGTAATTAGTTGCTAACCCGAAGTGTGAAGGTAGATTGGGGTAAGACAAATAAAAGTTTCATACCGTTTTGCGAGATTCGCAATTATCGAGTTATTAACGACAAATCTGAGGAGTGGGAGCGCGCCGATATAGAAGATTGGAGAAGCGTTGCAGCTGCTCAGGCCACAGCGCGACGCAGTCGATCTAGAAACGTTGTCGGTGCGCGGCGAGGGAAAAGACAACGCGCCGCTATTCGTCGTTTTATCTCGCCGCATGCCGCTAACAGTTGCTGGATCGACTGGGCCACATTGTAACCCGAGAGGCTACGATGCTTCTCCAATCATCTATTTCAGCGCGCGCTTATTCGTCAGATTTCTGTAATTAATAACTCGATAATTATTGTAAATCTTGTAAAACGGTATGGGATTTTTATGTTTGTCTTAAGCCAATCTACTTTCACACTTTGGGTTGGCAGTTAATTACTGGACACCCTGTATATACACGGTGTCCAATTTTAAAGTTTATAGTGCTATATTTCGCAAACCGGTGATTTTATCGAAAAATGTTTCGTTGTAGGGTTCAGAGGAGGACATCTAACAGTGACCTTGGCTTGACTTTGGATTATCATTTGTAGATCACGTAAAGGTCAACTTTAAAATCCTAAATGGAACCCCCTATTTTTTATTGCATATTCTTGTAGCCCTTGTCGAGACGTTTTCAAAACACTACCTACTTTTGTCCTTTGCGTAAGCCATTCCCAAGATATGAAACTTCAAAGTTGTCACACCGGCATTCGCAGTACAATGTACATCGCGGGAAGGTTGCTCGGTCGGATTTGTACATCATAGTGGCCCTAGAAAGGACCGATTTTGTGTGTGAGAGGGGCTCATTCATCATAGATGTTCGAAAACGCCGTCATCGACAGTTCGACACACTCGAACTCGCTTTTCGAAACTTTCGACGAGATTCAGAAGAATGTTTGCTGGAGTCGTTTGACACGCATTTCTGATGCGATCCATCATATTCTGCTGCGTCGTTGGCGGTTGATGGAACACTGCGTCTTTCAAAAATCCCCACAGATAAAAATCCGGAGGATAAGGTCGGGTGATCTTGGTGGCCA